TCCCTGCCCCTTGATTTCAGAGGTTCTGTTTCCAGAGAAGCAGGGATGATCTGGAAGCCTGCGTACGCCAATGGCTTGATGCCTTGATTCTTAATCTGAACTTGGGACCTTAGCACCAGAAGATAAACCTGAACACTTGCTCCCACTCCACTTCTGACCTGCACCCAGAGGGATCTTAGGGCTGGCAGAGGCAGGCAGGAGTGGCTCCAGGCAGGAGTAGCTCTCTTGGTGTGGAAGGACCTGCTGTTCCCACGGCTGGCTTGGCCTAGGTTCACATGCTGTCAGTGCCTGGGCCTGACTCAGAAGCCAGCCATCCTGTGGGGCCAGTTTTGGGCTCACACACCCACAGCTGCCTGTTCCTGTACTCCTTTTGGCTCAGCCCAGGCCCTGGGGCTCAGCTTCTCCTTCTCTGGAGGACTCCACCTACAAAAGTCCCTGTCATCCTCTCACCTCCAAGGACTGACAAGGGTCTGGTTGGTGGGGAGGGGCTTAGGACCTCTGGTCAAAACATCCCCAGGGACTACTGTCCGGATCTTCCTCAGGGTCCACATGTGACTACTGTACAGTGCAGACAGGGTGCATGCCTCTGCTAGGTCGCGTCATGTCACCTGAGGCTCCTTCTCAACCAACCAGAGCCCCGATGAATGTCCCCTGACAAGGGGGTCCCTCAGCTTCAGTGGAAATGCCACTCTCTTCCTTCTTCTGCTCATGTGGGGCCACAAAAGGAACCCAAGAGGGGATGTGATACTGATAGCAGGAGATGCTGTGCAAAGGAAAGGCATTCCTAGGCCATGGAATAGTGTGTGAGAGGTTTGTAGCCGAGGACCACCAGGAGCTGGGGCCCTCTGAGTATTATTTAGATGCTAGGTGTGTGCAAATCTGGAGCTGGAGAAGCAGATGCAGGCCAGTTCTTGTCTAGAAGACTTACTCATTCATTCATCCAACATTTTTGGACAACCCTGTTTGGAGCTCGGGAATAGCGCATATGATCAAACAGCAGGGACATGAAAATGTTTGGAAACATAATTTGCTTTATTTTGACTGTCCTGCTTCAGTAAATGTCTGATACATGAATGAATGGGCGATTAAAGGGAGAAAGAAAGGAAGAAATGTCACAGCCATCTTAGAGAAATAGGATGGAGGAGAGAGAAGTCAACCATGCAAAAGCAGAGAACTCACGCCTTAGGAAGGAAGGCTGTTGTGCTGTGCAAATGTAAGGATCTGAATCTAGATTCCTAGAACCCATGCAGGAAGTTGGACATGGTCATGACATGCCTGTAATCTCAACCTTGTGGGGTTCCGGAGACAGGAGGATTGATGGAGCTTGCTGGCAGGCAGCCTAGCTCCAGGTTCCATGAGAGATCCCGTCTTTTTATTATTTATACAACATTCTGCCTGCACACCAGATCTTACTATAGATGGTTACGAGCCACCATGTAGTTGCTGGGAATTGAACTCAGGACCTTTGGAAGAATAATGAGTGTTCTTAGCCTCTGAGCCATCTCTCCAGCCCAAGACCCTGTCTTGAGGGAATGAGATACAGTTGATATCCTCCTCTGGCCTCTTCACATGGACGTGTGTGCCCCGCACACACATGCACATATCCCACATACGAACACACCATGCACATTCAAAAGTGAAAATTAAGGTCTCTATAGTTTTCAGGGCAAGCCTTGGTAGTGGCTTGTATAGCTGCCACTGTGCCGGAGAGAGGCTGGTGTGCTCACTGCTGATGCAATCCTCTCTGAGGATTGCCACAGTGCACTACGTTGAGCAAGCAGAGGCTGTGGAAGAGAGTCTGGACAGTGGCCTCCCCCAGGTAGAAATGGCCTTGTCATAGAGGGCCAGACAGATGCGAGAAGGGTCAGTCCTGACAGGGAAATGAGCATGAGGTTGCCTAATATACCCGGAATGTGTCCTCAGGTAGGAGCATTTGGACTTGCAAAAGACAACTGAGGACAGATCATGACATCGGCCTTGCTCCAAATTTAAAGCTGTAGATCACTGGAGTAGAAGATTCACATGTCCCTATAACTACGTACTGGCCACTGTCAGTTGATTCCCATCCTGCTGCTGCTGCTGGGGACTGGAGGTTTGCTTGCTGGGACAGACAGCAGAGGGCAAAGACACAGGCCAGACACAGATTCAGGTCTTGGCAGGCTGGCCAAGCTTGTCCAGGCTTCCAGATTGCTAGTACCATAGCAATGGGGGCCTCAGCTTCCTCTGTCTCCAGTTCCAAGCCCAACCTTGAAGAGACAAAGGTAAGCCCTAATGGGCATTTCCCAGAATATCATCTCCCTGGGCAGGCATGATGCCCAGTGCCCCTAAGTAGAGTTAATGGGAAGTTAATAATGAAGCTATGTCTGAGCACTCACTTAACAGGTCCTTTACAAAACCCGGGTAGACTCGACCTTTTGCAGCACTTTTCTTAGAAACGCTCTTCCCAATTAAATAAGATTCAGGTGAAAACAAAACAAAAACAAAACAAAACAAAACAACCTCTCTGTAGAGCCAAGACTGGTCCTTTGGCCAAAGCTCAGGAAGAACTTGTGCCCCATAGCAGGCCTGGATCCATGATGGATGGCTCTGGTGGGAGAGGGCTCCCACTTAGAGCAAACAGTGTCCTTTGCAGCCTGGTAGAAGCATTCCAGAGCTTGGGTCCAGGATGCAGGGAGGAACCCTGTCAGCTATAGAAAGTTCAGCGAGTCCTGAGAAGTAACCGACCATAGGGAAAAGGGAAAGTGGATCCAATGGCACTTTAATAGTGTTCCTATGGTCTACTGATGGGGCATTTAGTGCTTGACCGCTGGCTTAAAGCAAATTCTGTGAGATGGGCTAAGACTGAACTGCGCACTTCAAAGGGGGAGCCTTCATGGTGCATGAAGTCTTTCTCTTTCCAAAGGATGCTGACTGCTCAGTTGCTGTGGCACCCGGCACGGGTTAGACCCACACATAGCCCGTCTGGGAAGGCATTGCTGTCATGAGGTCTCTGGACTGCCTCCAGCAGGCTTGGTCACCCAGCCATGTCTACGAAGGAGTGACTATGTGTCTGCTAGAGCCTCACTTGGGCTGAGAGACAAGGCGGTAGCCCTGAAAACAAGTTTCCTGTCCAGCTGGGGTTCCCAGGGACCATGGAGAGAGGCTTTGGTTATCTGTGGGTTTGTACCTGTTTACTGTCTGTCTTTGGCACATTGTTAGCAAGCTCTTTGAACCTGGCACATGCTCATGCCAAGGGAGAGTTAATAATTAACCAGAAGGTGAGAGAGAGAGAGAGAGAGAGAGAGAGAGAGAGAGAGAGAGAAGCCAGGCCAGTAGCTCACAGACGACCATCCACCAACACACTCTGATCCACCTTCCCCCATCGGCTTTTTTTGCGGTCATCTTACATGGAGGCAAGTCAGGAAGGTTAGGGCTCAGGTGAGGTTGTCCCCTGAGATCAATTTGGTTTTTAAAGGGCCTAGCAGAGCCACCCAGGTTCTAGCACAGGGCCCCACCCCTTTGCAGGTGTGCACCCGGGGCAAATACCTCTGTCCTCAGAGCCTCTCCAACCTTCCACCATCTGCAGCTTCTCCGTTTCCAGGGCTCACCTGGGGTGGATTGCAGTGTGCCCTGAACAACCCGTTCGGTCCCTTCCCGAGGTGACTTACAAGGGAGCACATGTGGCCACAAAGGGGTACAAAACAGAAAATACTGCTGCTCGCACACCTTTCTCTGGGACACATGGCCAGACACATACACGCATACATGTATGGCGATGCTGGCCACTTTGGGATTCATTGCTTCCTCCTTTTGGTCAACAGGAAGAAAATATAAAGGTGACTATAGACTAGATCCCACAGAAGGCAGACAGCAGGGTTCATTTGCAGGGTTGCTGGGAAAGTCTTTGCGTGCCCTGCATTCTCCTACCTGCTCCATTCTTAGGGCAAGCAGGTTGGCCACAAGCTATCCCTTTGAGAAGCCCAGCTTGGTCATTCCTCAACTTGGTTGTTGAGTCCCTACACCTGCCCTGAAGACTCTTCACTTGTGGTCACAGGTGAACCCTTTGTCATATGCCCTATGGCCCATCTGGTGGCCTGCTGCCTCGTGGTCAGCCTTACGGCCCCCTGCTTTCTGAATGGGGAGTCAATGCCAAGATTAAGAGGTGCTTTCCCTTTTTTTTTTTTTTTTTTGAGTTGGAAAATTATGCTTTGTGAACATTGGGAAGGATGGTTATGGAATCAAAAGGAGGCAAAAGAGATACCCAAGATCTTGTCACACTCTTGAACATACTCTGCACATGTACGGTTGGAGGATCAACGTGGTACCTGATCCTTTAACAAGGAGGTTGTGTGCTGAATGAGAGGCTAGAGTGGGTAATGTATTGGCACCTTTGTATTCACTACTGTGCAGCAACCAAAATCAAAATTGGTTAGACAGTTACTGGGGAACTGTCCATTCCAATCTGCTACACCCTCCCTACCTGTTAGGTTGTGCAGGCAATTCAACTGGCCTGCCCTTAGGGTACTGACATAGGTCCTAGGACATGACCTGGGGCTCAGGTGCTTCAGATAAAAGGGGTCTGCCACTCCCACCTGCTAACTCTCTGTTCTCTCCTCTCTTGCATTTTTTCTGCTTGTTTCTCTCCTGGAGGGTCCCATTATGTCTTTCCACCTCCACCCAATAAACTCTTTCCTATCAGATGTGTTGTGTATGTGTCATCATCTTTAAATAAACACTAACACTACCTCACAGATGGTCTCTGTGAAAGTGGCATGCACGTGGAGGCAAGGGCAGCCATGTCATTTACACTCGTCTTTAACACCACTTCACAAAACCTCTAGTAGGACTGGTCACATGTCCTTGAAGAGAGTGGACATGGGTGACCCTTCAAAATCTTCACCCTCTCTCCCCTGTCATGTAGCTGGAGGTGGTGGCACACCCCTGTAGACCCACCTTTAGGGAGGCCGAGGTAAACGCAGACTTGGACATAAACGATGGATGAACAGACAGATAAACACCTCTCCTTATAAGCTTTTTTTTATTAAAATACTGTCATACCTGGTGGAATGCAGCAGCAATCCTGGTACAGGGTGGCGTAACAAAACAGCCATGTTTACACTTTAAATATTCATGATAACTTAAACACACAGACACACGTCATGGTCTTTGGCAGAAAATGTTCACGTTCACAGCACAAAAAATACTTTAAAAGAAATACCAAATATTAATCCAAAATATATTAAGTTGTTTTTTTTTCCTTTCACGATATTTTTTTTTGCCTTTTCCCCCTCTTTTTTAAACCTTTATCTTTGTAAACAATGCACATGAACCAGATGCATTTTTCAGCTTTACACAGGGGAAGGGAAATTAAAAAAAAAATATGCAATTGCCCAGCAAATGCAAATGTTTAAAAAGGAAACTCAGAGAACCATGGGAATGAAACAACAAAGAGAACTTCAAAACAGTGAAAGAAAAACAAACAAAACAACCAAAGGAGAAAACACAAAAGAGCTGAAATCCACCCATCAGCTTTTTGAGCCGAGTGGGGGTTGCTTTAAGACCAGAAGTCAAAAGTTACTGCTGCTGGTAGGCTGCCATGCGGTGGACTTCACCCAGTTCCAAGTAGCTGGCCCTGCTTCTGGGCTGGGGCACCAAAGCTTGAGGAGCCAGCCTCATGGGTGCCATTTGGTGATGGGGGCACCATAGTGAGGAAATTCTCTGAATCAAGTCTTTCAAGCTCACTGATTAGTTTTCAAACAGCATAGCTCCCTCTCCCAGTCCCTGCGGGTGGGAACTAACACACATTTCTGAGAACAACTTCGTGTCCAGTTTCTTCCAAGAGAACCTGGCGCTGGGCATGACAGATGTCCGTTCGTGGTGGCTCATCACATCTGGCTCAGTTTATAGCCAAACCGACAGGACGTCCCAGGGACAGGAGCTGTAGAGTCATTCTAAAAGGCTGGTGACGAGAGTCCCATGGGCGTTGAACACAGGGATTTAAAATGGAGGAAAGGCAACCAGTATCAAAATCCACGGCCAAGAACTGGAGGCAGAGGACGCCTGGCAGACCTGTCAGATGTTTCAGGAACCGTGGCAGCAGGGGCAGGCAGCACAGGCCTGGCAGGAGAATCTGAACCAGCATGCGTAGTCAGCCTTCTGTTCCCAAGGAAAGAGAATTATATACAAGACACACTGTTCTGCAGGCCCCTCAAATGGCCTCTAACCTACTCCAAGCGAGGGATTCAAGTCTTACTGATCTAAAGGAGGCAGTGAGGAACTGAAGAGCAGATGGGGTTGGCTGGGGCCATGCTTAGCCATAGAACGCCATGGCAGGCCTGATTATCCCAGCAGACCAGCAGTTGGTACCCGGCCATCCTTGGGAATCAGAATCCGCTCTCCTTTCCCTTCGTGCCTGAATACAAACTGGCAGGATGGAGGGGGCTCAGCTCCTTTCTGCTCCAGCACAGACCTCCTGCAGCAGGGGAAGTCTGGCTCTACTTTCCTCATGGGCACAGGAGGAATATGGGCCAAGAAGCAGTCTTCCGGGGGTGCAGACTTTTCTAGCTCCCCTGTTGCGCTCCTCTGAGCTTCGCGCACCACAACATCAATGGCTGGAGGTGCAACGTTTGAAAATGACCACAGGAATGCCAGGGAGAGGCCAGGTTTCAGGGTCCCCAAGGCGCTTCCTCCTTCCTTCAGATCAGTATTTCCACCATGTCTGACAGATCCTGGACTCTGGTTGAAGTTACAGAGTCTGGAGAAACACAAGAAGACAAGTCTTTGCTGTGAGTCTTAGCCACTCGTTCTTTTCGGCTCCTACCACATTTCAAAGACAGGAGCTTTCTGAATTCATCAGATTCCCTCCCCTAAGCTGGTTCCTCTTCACTTCCTCAACTAAGCACAATGCCATGCTCCTTCCCCTCAGCTGGGGCCTAGACCGCCGAGGAAGTCAGTATGCCTGTGTTTAGAGTCTGAACTGGCTAGAGTGATCAGTGGAGGGGTGCCCCAGGGTTAGAAGCTGGCTGGGCATTCTTGTCATGCCTGTGGTTTTCTGAGATCATGGGGCACACACAGGCAGCTATGCAAGGGTGAATGTGAAATCAGAGTAGAAAAAGACTTCCTCTAGAGTCTCTCCTTTCTGGGCTCTTCCAAATAGCTTCCCAACCCAAGATCACCATCAGGGTCACTTACTGAGCACCCAAGTATCTTAGGTATTTGTTTGGTCTGGCAGGAGGCGATGTGAGGAAAACTCCGGGGGAGGTACAGTGCTTCCTGGTGGCTTGCCTGCTTTCTGAATTACGGGTCTCTCTCCCATCGAGACAGACCTTCGCCTCCAGCAACCCTCAGTTCACACTGTGGGAGTTTCCCATGGTGGAGGAGTTTGGGGGAAATGGACTTCCCCTCCTCCCCCGTCTAACACACAGGCCAGGGGAAGTGGGGTGCTTACCCAGAGAGGCTGTCCTCTGGCTACTGCTGCACCCGAGGAGGCTGTCAGGTTCTGAGGCCAGGCAGGCAGAGGTGCTGTCTGCGGGGCCGTCAGTCTGGGTACTCCCATCTCTGCTCCCATGCTTGGTGTGGGCAGGGAGAGGGGCTGTGGCCAGGGGCTCCTCTGCTGGTACATGGTCTGTAGGAATGAAAGGGCACTGATGAATATGGACCGAGGTAGGAGATGAGGACCCGATAAAGGGCATCCCAGGCAAACTCAAGTGAACTGCGTAGCTCCTAATTTGCAAGATGTCTAGTCAAATAAAAGGCCCCTCTTCTGAAGTGGGAACAAGCGGAGTCAGGTTAGGTTGGGTCAGTGTTGTGTCCCCCTTCTTTGTGGCTGAATCTAGGATTTCTTAGGATTAGCTCAGGCTCAGGAACCACAGCACCTTGCCTTAGATCTATCTGTAAGCAGCCGGGGAGGGGGGGGGCGGGGGGGCAGCATGCACTTTGCACTAGCAGGAACCCCTGTGGGCTTCAGGGTTGTGGGAGCCAAAGGCTAAGCCAGGTCCCCCAGCAGATGGGTCAGGAAGCCCTGGTTTCAGTGGTCCTGTATGTATCCTGAGAGTCTGGTACTGTGTATTCAAAAGTTCCTACTCCTCTCTACCCCACCGCAAGCCTCCTCGTACCAACTGTCAGCCTGGCAGGTGTATCAGTTTGCCGCTCGCTGGATGACAGCCCTTGCCAGCCCTGAGTCCCCACTGCAGCCGCGAAGATAGATGGCACGGATTTGGCGGGCCGCAGGGTGCCCTGGGTGGCTTTGCCAGGGTCTCTCCTGGAGCGCTGCTGAAGGACCTTGATCACCGCATCCTTCTCCAAGATCTGCGCATGGAGCACCTTCAACCTGTAGGGGAGGAGGCCACATGGTCAGACTGACAGACTCAGCTCCTTCATTTTCCCCACCTCACAGAAGCCGGGAGAAACCGACACAACCATCCCTCTCTGAGGCAGGGAGGACCCTTTTGAGGGACAGTACTGATGCTCTGTAATTGATGTCCTCTGAGCCCACTCAGGTCCTAGTGCCAGTAGCAGGCTTGAAGACCCCTTACACAGAAGGAACAGTGGCTGGAGCTTGGACAGTAATTCCCACCTCCAGCCTATGCACACTAGGGACTCACTAGGGAAACAACTGTTTATAATTTCTGGAATGCCAAACATACTGAGTGGTTGTGGGTGGGGTTCTGTTTACCAGCGATGAGGGGACTGGACAGAGACTGGATACCATCATCTCATGCCCCAACCCCGGCTGCCCCTGCCTAACCCTATAGTACCTGCTCTCCATCTCCTGGTGCCTGTGGTTGCCCGCCAGCAGGCCCTCATTGAAACTGCTGCTGGGCGAAGACTGGGGCGAGTGCCTGATGAGGGTGGTGTCCCGCTGGGCGGCCGCGGTGGCAGCCGCGTCCATGGCAAACTGCCTCATGGCCCGTTCCTCCAGGTATTTTTGCTCCCACTTGGTCATGTCGGCCTCCAGAGCCAGGATCTGTTCTTCCTTCTCCCGCAGTTGCTCTGACAGTCGCAGGGCACTGAGCTCAGTGGATCCACCGTTGCTGCCACCACCAGCAGGGAGGGTGCCGGCCTGTCTCTGGAGAGCAAAGAATATCTCGGTCAAGGGTAAAGGCTGGGCTGTGGGGGACATATGACTGAAAAGTAGTTCTCCGAAGTGGGAATGCTAATGCTAGTCACATCGGGGCGAGTAAGACGGAGCTCTGTCTGGTTTGAAAACACAAGAGACGTTTATATCCAAGCACAGGCTCCGGGCTCAGACACATCCCTTCCTATCCTGGTAAGACAGAGGAGAGTGGTCCAGTCTTGCAAGAACATCATTACTGACTACTATCTGCTACCAAATTTCTGTTACTGCCAAGGTAGGGCTCCCAGCAGACCTTTTCCTGTACAAGGTGGCTGAGAGGGACAAAGCGGCCAAGGGGGACCTGGGGCAATCATCTTTCCAGGTGGACAGAGACTATAGAGATCGGGGATCCCCTGGACTGCCCAGCTCTGCCAGCCGCACAGGTCTTCCGGCTCACCTGCTGAGCACGCAGGGCTTTGAGTTCCTGCTCCAGGCGCGTGCGCAGGCGCAGCTCCAGCTGCTCCCGCTTTTCACAGGCGGCCTGCAGCTGCCCCAGTGCCTGCTGCAGCCGCTCCACTTTCTCCACGTAGGCCTGCTTCTTGCGCAGCTCCTCTTCAGCCCGGGCAGCGCGGCTCTGTGCATTGCCCAGCGCCTGCTCCAGCAGCTCCGCACGTCGCCGCTGGTCCTCGATGGCACCACGCAGCAGCGCCATCTCCCGCTCCCGCTTCTCCTGCTCTTGCTGCTGCTCGTAGCCTGTCGGGGAGACATTATGGACGAGAGGTCAGCGACAACGGCCAGCCATCCCTTACCCACTACTGGGCTCCGTGCTGACAACTGCTCTATCCTCCGGAAATTCCTGGGTGTTATGTGTTGTATTTCGACAAGATGCGGGTTAAAAGGAAACAGCAGAGCCTGAACTTTGTGACCCATGCTGCTAACAACTAAGCTAAATTGGCCTCGCAGCTGGACACTGCTCAAACTGTGCCAGGGTTGGCCATCACCGAAACATATTCACAGTTTTTTTTTTTTTTGTTTTTTTTTTTAAGCTTCATGATGACTAGACTGGTCAGGCAGGAATTGTGCCAACCTTTTATAGGTTGGGGTACTGTAACAAGGTCTTTGTTCAAGCAGGAATAAGTGGGCAGGCACTGTTCACATCTTATCCCATTCAATCTCCCAGGTAGGATTCGAGGCTCCTGGTTTACAGGAACCAAATGGCTGACTGAGAAACTCTAGCTACCTGGCTGGGCATGCCGCCCTTGCACCCTACGGGTCTGCCAAAGTGGGCTCTGGAGTGTCGCCCGCAGACTGGAGCCTGTCCTGTTCAGCACCGCTTTCCTGCCATGGTCTGGGGACCCACGTGCAGGCTCATTAAGAGAATTCAAACCATGCAGCACAATGAAAATGATGTTGGTCCAAAGACCCGTGTCCAAGATTCCAGCTACCCCTGACCATGCTGCTAATTGATCGGAGGAGCCTCTCCACCTGGCCGGGCCAAGGCAAGAACATGAACTTCTCTAAGTGGTGTTCTAGGCCTATGATCCACCTTTGAAGCACTTGCCCTTTGGGAGTCTCAGGATGGTCAATCAAGAGTGGCTGCTTGTTTCTCAGGAGAACAGACAGGGGACAGGATTGTGGAATATATCTTCAACAGTGGGATCTGACTACAGCAGACTGTTCTACGTTACCCAAAATAGTAACTAGCAAGTAACATTTGGCTACCGAGCTCTTGGAAAAGACCGGGCCATTCAATACCACTTTAATTTGACTGTTCATACTCAGCTGGCTTACCAATTGGTGAGTGGGGTGGAGGGAGGAAGCCAGGTTTGGACTCAGAAACACCATCCTTTCTCAGGTGGGTTCACAGAGCCTAGTGTCTGAGTAACACCCAGGCCTCACTCCAGAGCTAGCAGTACTAGGAATAGAGACCTCTATCTCAGTCCACAACTGACACCTATCAAAAAGGGGCAGGGCCAGGAGGCAGGCCTCACAGTGAGCACCTGAAGGCCCCAAACAGACAATACAGGCAGAGTTGGAGGCTGCTATGACTTTCAGAAGGGGGCGGGGCTTGTGCTTGGGGGCGGGGAGGAGGAGGATCGTGTACCCTCTACAAAAAAGGGTCAACCTCCGACCTTTAGAATGCCTATCACAGGAAAAAAAGAACTGGGCCTGGGGATCCAGGTTTTTGCATGCACAACCTTTAAGACACCTTGGGGAAAGGGGGGCCTAAGCCTGCTTAGCAGGCTCCCACATTCAGGTCCCAGCCTCCCTTTGTGTTCACCCTCTCTCCTTCCAAAGCCGGGCTGGGCGCCGCCGGGGCCGAAGGGCGCCACTGGGGACGGGCCGGGAGCGGAACAGCCCAGCGGCTCTGGAATGCCAGGCATCCAGGTCACCCGCGGCTGCGAGATTAATGGCTCCAGCAAGAAGCCAAGAACAGCCTGGCGCTAGCTCGCTCCCCGGGGAGCGGAAACGCCTCCCGGCTGCTTCTGCCCCCCCTCCCCCTCTGCAGGCTTCCAGAAACCCTCCTAAGACTTCCTTTCTTTGCCAGAGCCTGGGCCCAAAAGCCACCCTTCCCACCAGACCACCCCCAATCTATCTTCCCCAGCAGTAGGTCTTCTGCAGACTTCCAAGGGCAACTCCTGGGGGACACACCTCCTTCCCCTTCACCTCTGTTCCAGAGACCTTTAACCACTGTCACTTCATTTTGAAAGGTAGTAGTGGATAGTCCAAGTCTTGCCCAATCTGAACCCATTTTCTGCCAAAGGCTTATTGGTAAGCACTCCGAGCACTCTAGTTCTAAGTCCTTGAAGGAAGATGGGTGCACTGCCAGCCAGAAGCCATCTTCCCCTTAACAAAATACCCTCATACATTTCCTTCCTAAAAGCCTTCTTACTTACAAGTCTGCCATTCCCCCTCAGTTTCTGATACCTTGTCCACTGGAGCCATGCTTCTGCTGTTCCCACGGATTTTCCCCAGGCCACCAGGGGCTTCCTAATCACCAATCTAAGGGATCATGAACACCTTTTCCTTTGAATCTGTGGGAACCTGCTCCTGCCCTAAGCTTATCTCACCTCCCTGCCATTTTCTGTGTGAATTCCCACCCTCTGCCCAACACTGGCCGGGTGCTTAGCTCAGTTCCACTAAGGAAGGAGCAAATGGATCTGTCTATAAAGCCTCCAGGATCCCTAGACCTCCCTGTTTAAGGAGAAATTTTCTGAATGCCTCCTCTAGACTGTTGACTAAACCCATCTGTGACTATCCCAGGATCCTCCACCAGTTGGATCGTGCTCTGCAGCTTCCTATATTCCCAGCCTTCCTGCTGCCTTGGAATTCCTAGGAAATGCTGAAGATTCCCCACTGGCCTCCATTTAACTATTGCCAGAGCTGTCATGGCTTCCTTGTAGGACAGACCAGTGCTGCACTGAGGGTCAATACTGCTCAGCCAATCACTGTCTCTTAGTCCCTATTCATCTTTGAAAAAAAAAAAAAAAAAAAAAAAAAATCAACCCTTCCCACAGCAGCCATTCAGTGAACCTGTCCCTGAAGTACTACTCTGTAAGAAAGCGAGGTAAATCTCCAGGGGAGTGGAGTGTGCGTGTGTTATAGTGGTCTTATTGCCAGTACACTCAGCCAGGTTTCTGAGCAGGTCCCCTACTCACTCTGAGCAAGCAGCTTAGCCACCATGTCCTGACTGCCCGCCTGGGCTTCCTGTGTCTTGCTTGCCAGGTGGCGGTTTGCAGATTCCAATCTCTCTGTTTCAAATAAGGAGAAAAGATGTTTCAGTATCACGGGATGCTACCAACCTGGGGTTCACCCTGGGGTCCTAACTGGAAGCCTGCACCCCCCACACTGGGGATGGGCTAAGAGGGACGTTCCGGCTCAGATCAGGGCCCAACGATGGGGATTAATTAGTGAGGGCCTATTCAGCACAGATCAGAGATTCTGAATCCCCCCCTGCACTCCCTAAAACAGAGCCCCCCCCCCAAAGTCCTGCTGGTGCCCTCTCAACTCCCCGACCCACACGCCTGTTTCTCACCTCGAAGATCGCGGTTGAAGTCCTGCAACCGCCTCATCTCACTGTCCATCTTGTTCCTCATAGTCTTCTCCAGGGCCTCACGCTTGGAAGAGGTCCTCATCAGGCTCTCGTGGGCCTCAGAGAGACGCTGAATTTCATTTTCCAGCTGTAGAAGACAGACAACAAAGTGAATGACAGGAAGAGTCCCAGGGAGCGAGGCCTGCAACCTCGCAGGTGGGCCAGACTGCCACGACAGCTGTTCCCGAGGAAGGACTGGCTGCTGCCTGGAACCTGGGCTAGATGTTCTTCAAGGGGCCTACCCACAGCCTGCCCGTGCCCACTGTTTACAAGCAGCACTTCATGTCTGCCTGGCATCGTCTGGCAAAGGACCAGGGGATGCGCATAGGTGGTTCAGCCTCTCGGGAACATTGTACATATACAGTACTGGAAGGCCTGAGGGTATTGCTAAAGCGGAACCTTAGTACACAACTGGCCAGGCTTCCCGGAGGAAGGGAGGGGGGTGGCGCCAGACCCCAGCCTGAGCTGCCTCCACCCAGACCATGTGGCTGCCCCTCCCACTTGGAAGCCACAGGTCTTACACGTGCTCCTAGCTGGCTTGCTATGCCTTTTTCTTTTCACTAAGAGGAGGGGCTTTCTCTTTGGCCAGGGCTGGCCTGGAACAGACTGGCTGTTGTGTGGGTGCACAAAGGATTCTCTGTGGGAGGTGTCCAAAGGCGGGGGGGGGGGGGCTGTGCAGGGCGAGGGTACAAGTGTGCAGAGAGCTAGTGAATGAGTTCTTTCTAACCACCACTGGCCAGCAACTGCTCAACACACCAGGGCAAGCCTCTCGGCTGTTCCTCAGCTGTCTGGAGTCAGCTTGGGGGGTGTGTGTGGTGGGGGCAGGGGGGAAAGATAGGCAGCCTGATAGGCTTTCCTGCTCCCCGACCTCCCTCCGCACTGGCCACCCCCGAGGAGTGCCCTGGGAGCCCCCACCTTTTCTATTCGGCTGGCCTTCTCGGCAGTGCTCTCCAGCTCTCTCTGCAGCCTCTCGTTGTCCCGCTGCAGCCTGGCGTTCTCCCTTAGTACACTCTCCACCTGGGCCAGGTGGGCGCTGCCCGAGGTGGCCTGGGCACTTGGTGGTCCCTCCACTGCAGGTGGGCTGAAGGAGCTTGGGGGACCATGGCCTAGAGCAGCCGGATGGAGGGGTGCGGAGTGCTCCTGGGGCTGCTGCAGGTACTGGTATTGCTGCTGCTGAAGGAACACCGGCGGTACCTGGGCCTGCAGGATCCTGGAAAAGAGGCGGAAGCTCAGAGACCGAGTCCCTCTCTCTCTCACATACACAGAGGCTATTATTGTCAATGACTGAGCCCCTCCCTCCCCACAAACCCCCAGTGTTAGGCAGCCACCAGTGGAGAGGGCTTATGTCACAAGGTATCTGCTTGAGACAGAGCGCAGGACAGGTGTGAGGTGCCACTGCGTTGTATCCAGATGTTTGTTCTGTTCACAGCTGCCCCACAGTTACCAAGGCCTCAGGGATCAGCCCAAGTAACCCTGGGCCTTCCTAAGGAAGTACGGCTTAAATAAGTTATCTTTAGAAATGCAACCTTGACCTTTTGAATCGAAAGAAAGTTCTTTTGGGATGGGAGCCATGCAGCTTCCCAGGCCCCAGGGGGCCACTTAACCAGTGGCTAGATTCTGGCAGGTAGGTCAAGTCAGCTAAAGGAGCTCACTTGAGTTTTACCATTTCAGGTCCACTAACTAGTGAAATTCTTTTCAAAGACCCCAGCTGAGATTAGAGTGGGGGTTGGGGAAGGTTAGCAGGTGCCAGGGGAAGAGCCTGAGTTCAGCCTGAGAAACAGGGGTGCAGATTTCAGCCCCAGCTGCTGGGCCTTCAACCAATCAGTGCCTTGGCTGCCCAGTGTCATCTTTGCTAAATCAAAAGGGTCTCTGGTCACGAAAGTGAGGTCTGACAGAATGGCAGGCAGATGACGGACACACCTATGACTGTCTAGCACCTGTCTCCACTGGCAGGCACCTCAGTTTATAAAAAACAAGAGGCCACCTCTGGATTAGCTCAGCAGCGGTGCTCAAGACCGTGTTCTACTGGCCTCTGGCATAGGTGTAACACATCCTTGGGCTCTATGTCAAGAGAGCAGAGTGAGGCATCATGGGTAGTCAGAAGGCCCTTGTGATTCCAAGTGTCACAGCTGTCCTCTCCTCTGTACTAAGAATTCCCTAAATCCTAGAGAAGAGTCTATCAAACTCCTTCCCCCATCCCCAGTGTTCAAGATCACTCCTACAACCTGTGGCTTTTGAACCCTTGACTCAGTCCCGAACAACTATTCCTCATCTGAGGAAAGGCCTCCATTGTGTTGTTCTACCATCAGCTCCAGGGAGAGCAGGGCAGGGGGCTGCCGCTGGACTGACTAAACTCTCCCTTGCTGTTAAGTGTGGTCCCACTCAGGGTGGCCTTAGAATAGTGTAGTTTTCCCTCTACCTCCTACCCCCACCGGCCAGACAGACAGGATTGACATTCTTTGAGAATGATTTAGCCCCAAGTAAGAATGGCTACTCCTTTCCTTTCACGCTTGCTTTCCCTGCTCCTGGTTCTTCCATTTCCCACTCCCCTCCTCCCCATCTTTTTGTTCTCCTGCAAACAGTCCACTTCCTTGCCTGGATATTATCTTTTCCTGGCAGGGTTCAATAGGGCTGGTCCAAAAGAAGAAACTCTTCCGGACCAGCCCTGAGAAGGGAGATAAGGTGGATGTCTTGGGGTGTGCAGGCAGAGTATACCCACGAGGCTCCATCCCCTGGTCCCTCCAGACCAGGGACACCACTCTTGTCCAGAGTAAAGAAAAACCAATTAGTGGGAAATCGAATGACAAAGATTCAGCAAGCATGAAGTGAGCCAGACTTTGACCTTCGACCCAGAGAGTGTGCAAATTCTTGGGTCCTCCAGGTGGGGGCTCCAAGAAGCCTGTTTCCCTGGGAAAGGTTCAGTGCTCAATTACGATGACTAAGGCAGCCCCCTCATTTCTAGGAACCTTGCAATGATCTAGCTTCCTGATTGCACTCACTGGGTTCCGTGCGTCTATCCTAGCCCTTATAACCCATTCTCTAAGGCTGGTTATTGTGCTGTACCTCCCTTTTAAAGAGTCCATGACATCACCCACCCCTGCAATACATTCACACTAAGACTTCATACTCAGGCAAACCAAGTCACTGCCCTGGTCCAACAAGAAAAAAAAAAAAAAAAAAAAAAAAAAAAAGGCTCATCTAGGCCTAGAATCCTCTCAAGATGAAAGTACAAGGGAAAACATAATAAGTAATCAACTGGTAGACAAGGCAACAGTGACAGGTTGAGTGGCTTAAGTGACCACCTAGTTCTTCCAGCCTCATTAGCAGCACTTCCAAATGACAACAGCAATGTCCACTTTTCTTAAAAAGCCTTCAGGAAGTCCCACCTTTGGCCTACTTGACTTGGGAGCAGTTTGGGAATGATTCCTATTGTCTTTCCTTAGTTCTTTCTAAAAACAAAACAAAACAATAAAAACCTCTCACCCTTAAACCCTGTTCACATCCCCTGGGAGAACTACTTACTTGAATGCTATAGACAATGCCAGCTGTATTTTGAGTTAAAGCAATGATGTCAGTTTCTTTCTTTATTTATTTTTTTGTTTTGTTTTAGACAGTCTTGCTACGTAGCCCTGGCAGGCGGTCAACTTGTGATTCCTTGCTGAAGTGTTAGGATTACAGGTTATGTGCTACCACGACTGGGTCAGCTAAGTCCCCCTCTCCTCCAGGCCCTAGCTCCCTCTTTTCAGACAGGAGGAGAACAGATACAGATCAGACAGCCCCAGGAGCTGGTGGGGAAGCAGTGGGGCTGGCACTGTGCCAGTTGGGAGACTCCTGGGAGACTGAATCAGAAGAGATCCAGGGAGGGGTTGTTAGTTACCTGACTTCCGCATGCTGGAAGTGTGGGCTGCTTCGGGGACGGTATCTTGGGTCGGTGACGGCAGAGGTCTCATGAGCCATTACGGCGTGTGGGTACTGAGGTGGGGGCCCACGGGGCTCAGGACCCTCAGCTGGGGGTCCTCGGGGCTGGGGACCCTGCTGGCTTCGGGCCAGCTGAGGGAAGCTGTGGGAAGAGCTCATGTGGCTGGGCACTCGAGCACCATTTCTTTCCAGGGATAACTGCAGAAGCCGTTCACTCAGGGAGCGGACGTGGCCGTGCCTCAGCTCCCGCAGAGCCTCATCCTGTCGCCTGCTGCCTCCTGACGCCCCTCTAGGATCTCGGGACCCGGCCTGCTGCGCTGCATAGTACTGTGAATGGGCTTTGGCCTCCTCATAGGTGGGTAGCTCTTCTCCCTTGCTGGGCTGTGGGCACAGCCGGTACAGCCTGTTCTCTGCTGGGTGGGTCTCTCCGCCCTGATGCTCCTGCCCCTGGGGCTCCTGCCTGGTGGCCTGCTGTAGCACCTGACCGTCCTCAGGTGCTGCGATCTCCGGGGAGGCCTGGGGGCTCCCTGTGCCCCCAGCCCCAGCCCCACCCCGCAGGGCCTGCTGCTGGATGGCCAGCAGTGTGCGAGTCTCTGTCAGGTTGCCGTAGCGCAGCTGCTCCTGGATGAGGCGGTGCAGGACTGTCCCTGAGGAGTCTTCCAGTGTCCTCATGCTTCTCTGGCTTGCACTCACCTGCCTAGACAATGGCCAGCAGGCACCTGGTCCCAGAGCACCTAAGACACAGAAAGAACAGCAATCAATGGAAGCACATAGGAGGAAGGCGGCACTTGCCAAAACACTATGGTTGAAAGAGGAGGTTGGATAGGCAGGTGATTTTTCACAGGCCCCCATGCAAGTGTCAATGTGGCCTTGTATTAACTGTTTGGTTACCGAGTCTCTGATCCTCAGTTTGTCCACTTACATGTATATATACATACACACACACATACATATACACACAGTGTCCCTCTTGGGGTTGAAACTATAAATCCTTGGCAAATGCTTATCATCACAATGACAATATATGGAGACTTAAGCGATCCTACAGAAATACCTCAGGAAGAAACCAAAAAGGTTTTCTAATAGGGATCACCGTCCCCTGCAGTCAGCCATGACACCAAACAGTCTCACGAGCAGGCCACCATCAAATTGAACGACTCAGCAGAATAGGGCGCAGTTCTCTGCCCAGCAGGTGGTAAAGAAGGAATGCAGCCCAGTAGAAATAAGCCCTCCGCAAATGACCTCCAATGACTCTTCAGGATAAGGATGCTTGAGCCACAGGTAGTAAGTACAACACCACCACCACCCCCACTTCTCTTCCTGGAACCTGACCCTGGGCTCAGCTTCTTCAAAGGCTGCCAATAAAATAAACCCGAGTCTCCTTGTCGTGGATGACCCTGGTAGTCATTCGGCAAGGCAAGCAGGCAGGAGAAGCTGCGTGTGAATTGGCAAAGCGCAGCTAGAAAGGTAACAACAGGACAATGGTTTTGTGAGGAGGCAGAGAGGTGCTTGCAGCAATTGGAACCAGCGAAACACCCTCGATTTTATGATCACCCCCCTTTCTTGGCACACACTCCTGCTACTTAGAAAAGCCCTTAACCCTGGACCCTAGGTACACAGGGGACGGTCCCTCTGCATTTCTGTTGACATTAGTAAGAACCACCTGAGCCAACTGATGGGGAAACGAAATGAGGGGAAAGACGGGAACGGGGGGGGGGGGACGTGGCCCTCTTCTGTGCCACGATGGTAGCCCCGGTGTCCTGCCTCAGTTTGGGAATGGTATGCTGGCAGACCTGAGGGTAAGGGAATGAGCCCTGAGGACATCCAGGGCACCCATGCTTCCTGGGACCTAAGCCTCCCCCTACTGCACTCTATAATGTGTAAGACTTCAGGAGTCTGTTCCAAACACGCAGCTTTTTAGACACAGCATTTCCCAAATTAATCACTGTCTTCGCTACGGAGGATCCGGGAGCGGCTAGAAGGAATGCAGAGCCTTCCCGACAGATTCCAGGCGCGCCAACTGCTAGCCAGGCTCCCAGAGCACGGAACATTTCCGAGGCCTTTCATCGCACAACAAGTCCCAATCTAATCCCCTAGATGCACCATCTTCCAAACACCTACGGTTGAGCCGTTACTAAAAAGCCAGCTTCCTCACCCGGGCGTTGCACCTGGGCTGCTCTGGCGCGCTGCACTCTGAAAACCGCCTTTCTAAGCAAACACAAGTTCTCTGGCCTTGGCCTGGGCTCTCCCTAGCGAAAGGAACCAATTCCAAGTCAGCCAGGCCGGGGTTCCGCGACGCCCACCCCGGCCGAGCAGGACCACTAGCACCAGTGGCTGCCCGAGTGCCCTGGGCCAGCACAACCCGCAACCGCGAGGTCTTTAAGCAACGCGGGTCCGCCTCTCTCCCTAGCCCTCTTTGTTTTCCAAATACTCCAGCGCTGACGTCACCGGACTGGACAGCAGGCTGCATTCTTTCTAAGTGAGAGCCAGTTCGTGGCTCGGGAGAGGATTTTCCAAGGAAGACAAAGAGGAATTCTGGAGCTTGGTGAGGGTAAAAGCCACCTGTATGCCCAATCTAGACAAAGGCAGCTACCGGGACCCTGCATTCACCAAGACCTTGCCTGCAGCCGCTTTCCATTGGCCCCAGACGCGATACCCACACTCGCCAACACCGATCCTCTCTCTCTCTCCTTCAGCCCCAGTGGGTCGGAGAATCGTGTCCTCCCCCCCCCCCCCCACCCACCCAAGCGCGAGCAGCCCGGGCTAGATAAGACACCCAAGATCGGTCCTCGAAAAGGTGCACCGTCTCCCCCCTTCCCCGCTCCCGGGGAAGGCTTGTCCACCCCAGTTCCTATTTCTAGATAAGGCCGGGGCTAAATCGCGATGTCGGGGTGTCGCTGGGAAGCGCCCCCCCCCCCCCCCCCCGGCCCCCCGCGCTTGCCGGGGGCGCCGGGGCACGTTTCTTACCGCTGCGGCCCGCGGCTGCCGGCGCGCGCAGACCCGGTTCGGCTTAGGCACGGTCTGCAACGGAGGTGCGCACTCGTCGGTGGCGCCGGCGCTCTGCCCGCTCGCGCCCCAGTGCGCAGCTCCTGGGTCAGCCCGCGCTGGAGGCGGCTGCTATGCCAGGAATGTGAGAGTTTCAGGTTCCCCCTCGGGATCAAAGCGAACCACAAATAACCTCTCAGCGCGCCGCCCTCCTCCTCCCTCCGCCTCCTCCCCGCTCCCCGGCCCGGCCCCCGCCTTCCTCCCGGGAGGCGGCGCTGCGGCTGGCCGCTGGCCTGGCCTCAGCCTTGTCCCCTTGCCACCCTGGGCTCCGACGACCGTACCGCATTCCCTGCCCCTTGTCTTGCCGTCCTAGCTGTTTGGGGTGGGGGCTGGGGGGTGTCTTAACCAACTCGGCTCAAGGATCTCCCCACCGCTGTCCCCGTCCGGTTCTCACCTGTCATCCCTACGTCCACCGAGGGATATGCCTCTCACGCCCCTCTGGTGGCTGCGGGAGGGGTCTCTGCCGTTAAGGAGATGGCGGGAGGGCAGCAAAGCAGTCCACACACGCCCAGCTTTGACCGTGCTGCAGGAGAACAGATTCCTGGCCGGCAGCTGCGCGGCCTCTTTCCTAACTCCTACTATTTCACCCCCCAGCGGCAAACTTTGAATTGCACTTTTATTGTTTACAAACACCTTCGCCAGCTCTTTCAGATCCTGCCTCTACAGGAAGTGTGAATCTGGGCTGAAAATCTGGTGGATTTGACCCACTACCCAAATGAACCACCCTCCACTGGGCATCGGGTCCAACTCCTCCCCGGCTCCGCTCCGCTTTAAGCCAAGCACGCGGCGGCGGGTCACCTCTTGCTGTTTCCTGGGCCATCTGATTCCAGTCACCCTCCGATGGTGTTCTTCTTTCATCATCTCTGTGGCAAGTAAGAAACCGAGGCTCAGAGAGTTTAAGCAACTTACCTAGGGTCACACAGAAAGAAGCTGATGAAGCCTGGTCTCTTTTCTTCGTCACCGGAATCCGGGTTCCCTAACCGGACAGGGCAGGCCCAGAGAGTCTCTGCTTTCTCCTACCTGTCCCCAATTCCAGTATCTTTTCCACCTCTCCTCCACGCGGCCAACCTTCTTTCCTGTCCTTTTCTCTGGCTCCTGCTGTTCTACCTCGGCGTGGAATCTTCTCCTCTGTATGTCTCTTGGATTCTTCTACCTTCCGGCCCCCCAGACTCCTCAAGCAAGGCCGCTTTGACTCCCCTTCTCCTCCCTCCTCGGGTAAGATCTCCAGGTCGCATTCATTCCTCAGAGCCATCCACCTAGAATCAGGGCTGATTTCCGCTGTTGGATGGGCTGGTCCTCCCCTGCTTCCCTCAGCACGACGCTCTCAGTTCCCAAGTTTCCGGGAGGGGACCAGGGACAAGAAACCTTTCCAGCTCAATAGCCAGGGACATGGCCAGTTCTTCATAAAGCTCCGCTTTGAAAGTGTGGAGTCCTAAATGGCCAACAGCCCTCCCTGCCTTTTCCGAGGATGTGCCTTAGGCTTCTAGGAACCCACCTGGTGGCTCACAGCCGTCTGTAACTCCAGTTCCAGGGGATCTGGCAGCCTTTTCACAGCTATGATGGTACCAGGCGCCTGCGTGGCGCTGGAACACACATGGAAGCAAGACATTCATACGTATATAATAAAATAAGTAAAAAGAAAAACATTTGTACATATAAGATAAGTAAAAAAAAACAAAAAAAGATGTGTATGTGTTTCACTTGAAATCTAAACATTGCGTTTCAGAATCGGATTGTGTCTGAGGCACACGAGAAAATGACAAACGTGCCAAGCTAAGGGCCACCTTACCAAGAGAAGCTGTGGCCCGCACACCATTGCTTCCCCCCCCCCCCAGCTGCTGTAGGTGGGAGCCTTATGACAAGGACGATAGGAGAGGTTCCCAGGTGCCCTCACATCATGGACAGCATTCGTGGAAACCCTTGGTGAGAGGCACCCATGAGAGTAGGTGCCGGCACACGTGCTGGGTTACAAAACCAGGGGAAAGGCCCTGTGGCGCAGTCCTGTGGTTCACTGGTGCTTGAAGGGGCACCGGACAAGACGTTTGACAAATAAGCATTCCTGACATAGTTGGGGAAAGGGGCCAGGCTAAGGCAGCTAGAGTCCAGAGGTACATTTTGGGAGTGGGCAAGCCTGCTTCAGACCAAGACAAGTCGCACGTCAGTTTCTGTAGGTAGCCCAGAGGGACAGAGTGGGGAGAGGGATTCCCAAGTGGAATTTATACACATTTTTTTCTTCTTTGCAAGAAGGACAGAGGGTGGGGCCTCTCAGGCACAGCCAGGCCTGGGGCCTCAGTGGAATCTGCCTGAGCTGGTAGCCACACCTGGCTCTGCAGAGTGCTGGAGTGAGAGAAGGGGGCTTCATCTCAGAGCATATTCAGAGGTGGGCACTGGGCTAGCCAGCCCTCTTGCATATCAGTCTTTGCTGAGAACAGGGCCAAAGAGACTCAAGTAGGGGGCCAGCGGCTTCCTAACTCACCTTCATCTCTCCCTTACCCCCTCCAACCCCCTGCAGGTAATGATTCTTCCCTGATGACTCTGTGACTTGGCTGGGTTTGGAACCTTGCCCAGGAAATCTGCAAAGCTGACCCAGTTCTCAGAGAAAGCCATTGCTCTGGAGAGCCCAGCTCACAGGCGTGGGGCTGCCAAAGAGGTGTGTTCTGGGTTCAGCAAATTGTTCAGATACCCACACCCTCCTCCCTCCTCATCTGGATCAGGTAGCTGCATCTCCCAGCCCCCTGCTGCAATATGAGGGCAGATCCTCAGTGGAGCCCCCTGCCCGGAGCAACTAAGAAGAGAATGTCTTCCTTACTTCCCAAATGGTTGATTGATGAAGGAGGGACTCTTGGCTCCAGGGACATCAAAGGAAAACGGCTAGTTGTGAAATTCCTCTTCCCAGTTTCCCTTGACACTCTACTAGACAGGTTATGGGAACAGGAAAAACAAATCAACAGGAGAGTTGATGTTAATGCCAGGGAGATGAAAATACCGACCTTCTCTGTTCCGATGGCAGAAGAGCTTCTGCTCACCCTCACATCTTTCCACCCCTCCTGCTACCACTACTTGCCGATTTTATTCCCCAAGCTCAGCCTTTCATCCCTGTCTCCTCCTCCTCCTCTTGTTCCCAGGCCTCAGACCAGCAGTCTCAGGTAGGTTTTCTTGGAAGGGGCTGTGTCCTCCGCGTTAAACTCTCAAAAGATGGAGCGTTTGTGAACTAAGGCTCCTTGTCTGGGAAGGGTACTGAGGGGCTTTCCTGAAATCGAAGGAGCCAGACTTTCCAGGCTGTGTGAACTCCTTGAGTCCCTGGCCATCCTCCGTGGGTCTTCCATACAGTGATGGCGCAGCAGTAGGTTATCCGTGAAAATGGTAAGGACGGGGAAGCTTTGCCACCGCTCTGTTACCTTCCCCTTCTCCGGGGGTCCACGAGTGCCCAGACCATCCATGAGCCTGGTTCTTCCTGGAAGACATATCTAATGGATGCTGACACCCAGGAAGAAACTGCAGTTTCTTCTCTAGATAGCTGTCACGGAGGAAGGGGAAGGGAGGCCAGAGCTGCCACCTTCAGGCCAACGCACTAAGGCAGGTTAATTGAGCGCCCGACACCTCCCTTTTCTGTGAAACTAAGAATGGTTAAGTACTCAGTTAGTGGATGAGCCATTGATGCCTGGAGGGCCGGCCCTCTAAGTTTTGACAAGAGGCGGCACCCAATATGGGGAGATCCTGGGTTTTCAGCCTTTATAGAAACGGGTCCCCCTTTCCCTTTCCTGGTGCGTGGTCGGGGGGACAGTCAGTGTGGTGGAAGACTGCCCCCTAGTGTTAGGCATCTCCGCTGTTGGGGTACGTGCTCCAAGAGTGGATCTTGAGTCTGGGGTAGGGTATTGGGGATAGGGTAGCGTTTGGGACAAGGTTTCCTTCAGGGATAGATATATCTCCCTGAGTAAAATAAAAACAAAAACAAACAAACAAACAAACAAACAAAACCAGTCTCACCATGTTGCTCCAGCTGGTCTAAACTGGCTTCAAATTCACAGAGATCTACTGACTTCTGCCTCGGGGAGCTGAGTACTGGGATTAACTGGTATGCCACTGTTCCCAGCACCCAGACCTTTTAATAAGCACTCTAATAGCTTACGTTGTGTTTTTGACTTTTCCTCCCATCTCAGCCTCTCTTGGGCTTTCACATGGTCTTCAGAGGAACACAGCCTTTAAGACAAGGCGCTCTGATGGTTAGGAAATACCCAGCCACAGATACCTGTTCATCCTTCCAGGTATCTGTTCCGGTCACCACATTTCATATAGGTGACCAGGCACTCACTGAGAGACCCTGTAGGAGCTAAAGGAATTTCCAACTGTGATGATTTGAATGTGAATGGACCCCATGGGCTCACGTGTTTAAAAACTTGGTCCACAGTCTGGTAGTGCTATTTGGATGGGTTTAGGAGGTGTGGCCTTCTCAGAGGAAGTATGTCACTCTGGGCAGGCTTTGAGGTTTCAAAGCTTTGCCTCTTCACTGTCAATCCTGTTCCATCGTGATGGCACACTCCCTGGAGACTGTAGGCAGTGGTTCCAGCCAACAGTAGGAGATTTCCGCCTCCATCTTTATTTCAGGGTTTCCCTTAATTTACTTCTCTTTGCCCCTGTGTTTCTCGAACTCTTTGTGTTCCTTCTAGGTTTGCTGTCTTGTAGGATCCTTAACAATGGGATCCTACAAATTTAAAACAAATTTTAAAGAAGCTGTTCTTGACTCGGAGCACCTTTTAACACACATACACATTAAAAAAAAATCACTTGGCTGCTATTCCTAAAGACTGGGATTCTATTTCCAGCACCCACGAGGCAAATCATAACCATGTGTAACTCTAATTCAAGGAGACCCGATGCCCTCTTCTGGCCTCTCCAGGGACCAGGCTTATATGTAGACTAACACACAGGCAAACCAACTGCCTTAGGGTTTCTATTGCTGTGAAGAGACACCATCACTGTGGTGACTCTTATAAAGGGAAACATTTAACTGGGGCTGACTTACAGGTTCAGGGGTTTAGTCCGTTGTCATCATGGTGGGAAGCATGGAGGCATGCAAACAGACATGATCCGGGAGAAGGAACTGAGAGTTTT